GGAGTGGGTTGTGGATGAATAGTATTCGAACCCCCAACACTTCAGAAAACATTATGTTGAAGTCTTAATAGCCAGTTTTCCAGAATGTGACGTTTTCTGAAAACAGAGATTTTTTTTAAGGTAATCTTGTTAAACTGAGGTCCTAAGAGTGGATCGCTAACCAATTTGAAGATGTCTTCATAGAAAGGGAAAATGGGTCCAGTGACGCGGCTCAGGGGGTGAAGGAGCTCACTGCACAAGCCTGACCACCTGATTGTGACCCCCTAAGCCCACATAAGAAGGGAGGACCACTCCTCAAAGCTGTCCTCAGACCTTCACATCTGCACACACACACACACACACACACACACACACACACACACACACTAAATGAAAAGTTTAAAATGAAAAGCATGATTGAAAATAAACAAATAGGACAAGTCTGGACAGAATGGCGTCCCCAGCTGAGTCTGCCTGGTGAACTAGGCCTGAGCCACTTCTAGAAGCCTCTGGGGCTAGAAACCCAGCAGACTCAATCCTGCCTCTCACATGTATTCATGAGCTAGAGCACATGCTGTAGAAAGGGGGTTCTCATATCCTTCTCAGGATGGTCGCAAGGCTTTCGGTTTTGTCACAAATGGGGTCCCTTCCTCAGCAAGCAGGCACCAGCAGGGGTTCTCCTCATCCAGGTAATTCTGATACCACAAGGAGGTAGTGGAAGATCTCAAGGGTTGAGCGCCTGCCTGTCCCTATACTGCCACCTCCCCTAAGATTGCATGTCTGTGCTGGTGAGCCTGTGCGTCTGACAATGGACTGAGGAAAATGTTTATTTACTAATCTTTACTTGTTTTTCTGTTTGTTTCTGTGGTGCTGAGGGTGGAACCCAGGGCTCTAGCACAGAGTTATCCTTCCCCTTCAGCCCTTAAAGGGTTCTACAAAGGACACACATAAAGAAACAGATGCTCAGAGTGAGGTATGGGCAAAGAAGGGGCATGAGGCTGTGAAGCTTCCTAGCTCCTCTCTGGGTGCCACCACCCAGGTGTTCCCGTGCTGGGCTGACCAGAAATTCCTTAACATAGTCCTCTCTCTCTCTCTCTCTCTCTCTCTCTCTCTCTCTCTCTCTCTCTCTCTCTCTCTCTCTCTCAACTGAGATACTATCTCAAGTAGCCCAGGTCATCCTCCAGCTAGCTGCGTAGGATGACCTTGAACTCCAGTCTTCCTGCCCCCCACCTCCTGAGTGTTGCGATTACAGTCCTGCGCCACTACACAGGGTTTATGTAGTGCTGGAAACTGAACGCAGGGTTTTGTGAACTCTAGCTAGGCAAGCACTCTACCAGCTGAGCCACCGCCTCCAACTCCTTATTCTAAGTTTATGTGGAGGTTTCATTGCGGGCTTGATCGAAGCCCGAGTGACCCGGCGTGTAGAAAATATGACCCGACAAAGAGGCTTTTCTGCTGTCGACAGCCAGAGAGGGTCCCAGTGAGGTTTCAGCTCACTTCTTCCTGAACCCTCCCTATCCCCTCTCCAATATGGGACCCTTCTCAAACACAGATGAGATGAGGTATCTCAGAGAGTTTTGGATGCACAACCCCCAGGCAGAGGTGGGGGAGGCCGGAGTTGAATGGCCTGCCTTGGGAAGGGACTTTGAAGCAGGTGCCGCCGAGGAGAGAAATCGACCCGTGTATGTCAAGATATCACAGAGGCCGTACACGTGTGCAGTGCAGCGTGGACGTGAGGGAAGGAGAAATTGTAACTCTGACTTTGGGTGCCAGTGCTGGGTACTTTGTCACTGCGGGGCTCCTGTAGTCACTGTCGCAGACTGATCTTTGAAGGGGACAAAGGTGTTCTTTAGTTTGCCACTGTTGAATCTTTTTTTCTATAACCCAGGGTGGCCTGTAACTCACTGGTCCGAGTTGGCCTTGAACTCGTGAACCTTCTGCCTCCATTTCCAGAATGCTGGGAGTACAGATGTGAGCCATCATATCTGGCTCTCTTTAGCTCCTAGCATTATAGGTTAATGTGGTCCAGAGATCTGGGTGATGGTGTAGCCAGCTCATTCTGATCTAAGTCAGGGTGCTGAGAGCCTGCTGGTACCCTGCCAGAGATTCCCCACGGCTTCACCAGGGAGAACTCTCTAGAAGGTGCTTGTGAGGGCGGGGCATCAGTTACTGCAGTACGCAGCTGCCAGCTGATGTAGGGTGATCTGAACTCATTTGGGGTGGTGGAGGCAGCGCTGGGGAGGGAAACTTGGTCCAACAGTGGGTGACAGCTGGGGGCAGGGGAACGTCCCCATCACCCCAGATAAGAACTGCTGGCTATGCCCCCTTTGGGGCTCACATCCCCCTCCTGTTTGTGTTTCAGGCCCCTTGGTGCCCCGCATCCCACCTGGCACTGGATCTTTGCCTGTGGGCTCAACCTGCTGATACCCGGGGCTTGTAAAAACAAACATTTTCAAGCTTTAGATAAATGATTTGATTTTATACTTAATCGTATTGTAAACATTCAACTTCAAGGCCTCCAGGTAAGGCTTGTAGAAAACTTTCTAAGTCTAGCTCTGTCTCGGGTAAGCAGGAACAGCCCTCCCCTCTACAGCCTCCTTGGCACACACAACTCTGGGCCTGTGCGAACAAAAGCAGCCGGGCCTGACCTGAAACAGCTGCCAGGAGAAGGCACTGGATCAGAGGTAGCATGTGGAGCACCACCACGGACCCGGGTCTGTGAACGCGTTTGACAGACAGACGAAGAAGAGCTTAATCTAAAGCCCCATGAGCAGCAAAGGCCAGGGCAGTCAAGTGTTTAGGGTGAAAATAGACTCAACACGCAGAGGCGAGGGTGTAGCTCAGCTGAGAGAGAGTGCCGGGCACACATGAGGCCCCAAGTTTCCTCCTCAGCACCTCAGAAACCAGAAACACACGTTATCCCAGCACGGGGGAGGCAGAGGCAGGAGGATCAGAAGTTCAAGGCCATTCTCCCTTACAACAAAAGTTCAAGGCCGGCTTGGACTCCGTGGGGGCCTGTCTCAAAAACAAAACAAAAATAATAGCAACAAAGACCTAAGCATGCCTCTTGTGCTGGTTCTCAACACGCCTTTCCCGAGTTTGCTGGGACCTGGTTGTGCTTTAGAAACCAAACCATCAAAAGCCCTGCCAGCTGGCTGGCCCCTAGCTCTCCTGGCCCTGCCTTCTGGTATCACAGCTGGCAGTGAGGTTCTGAGGAGCAGCTGCCCAGGTGACCACAGCTAGCACAACTAGTGATTATCAGCCACATGGCATCCAGGGACGGAGGGCCTGGATTTGATCTCATGTCCCAGAGGACATTCTAAGGCGTAAGCAGCTTAAAGCCCTTCTGATGGCAGCATCTCCCCCAAGGCCACACCTTAAGGTTTACCCAAGTTTAGCAGACACACAGATGAGGGCCCAGGCCTCTGTCACAACTGACTAACATCGCTGCTTGCTGATGCTATGGTGACATTGCTCCTTTCCTGGCCATCACAGCCATTGCCCCCTCTTACGTCTTTCTTTTCTTTTTTCTTTTCTTGTACTTTTATTTTTCACTATATAGCCCAGACTAGCCTCAGCTTTACATCCTCCTTTCTCAGTTTCCAACTGTTGGAATCATAGGCACACACCACCAGTCCCAAAAGTTGGTTCTTTTCCTCATATAATTTTTTTGATTTAATTATAGGAGAATCCTTGTGCCGGTGTTAATGCATGCGTTGTCTAGGCCATTTTAGTCTCTCTCAGAAGCAAGCTGTTTCCCCCACCTGTGTGTGGTATTTGTGTGTATCGAGCACAGGAACATGTGCACATGTGTGCACGTGGAGGCTCAAGGTGGATGCTGAGAGCCGTCCTCTGTTGCTTCTCTGAGGGAGGGTCTCCCCTTTCCTCACTGGCAGGCAGTCTCTTGCTGCACCTGCAGACTGCCGATCCCAGTAACTCTAGTTAGCCAGCTTGCTCTGGGATCTCTTGTCTCTGCCTCTCCCAGACTGGAATTATAGACAGCAGTCACACCTGATTGTCTTATCGGGTGAGGGGAATCCGAACGCTGGTCCCCATGCTTGCGTGACAAATGACTGATCTCCTGAGCCACCTCTCCAGTCCAAGAATCTTATCATTTTTAAGTGATATTTTTTTAAAAAAAATTTTTTTAGACTTGTTTATTTTATGTGTGTGTGTTTTTAAGGCGTGTATGTATGCTCACCATCTGTGTGCCTGGTGCCTGCAGAAGTCAGAAGAGGGTGTCAAATCCCCTGGAACTGGAGGTACAGATGGCTGTGAATCTCCAAGTGGGTGCTGAGAACCACACTGTAAGAGCCCCAAGTGTTCCTAAGTACTGAGCCATCTCTCAAGCCTTGATTTTATATACACAGAGACTAGGAAATGGGTAAATATACAGGATTCAGAATAAAGTCCTCAAATAAAGTTACACATAATCAAACAGGTAGAGTTGTTAGTAGCTGGGAGATAATTCCGTCAGCAAGTGCTTGCCTTGCAAGAATTTGATCTCCAAAACCACTGTACAAAAGCCAGGTGTGGTAGCACACACTTGCAATCTAAGCACTGGGAAGGCAGAGACAGGCATATCCCTGGGATTTGCTATCCAGCCAGCCTCACCTGTTTGGTGTGTTCCAGGCTAACGGGAGAATGCGCCTCATAAACAGAAGGCAGATGACTGTTGCAGACAACCTCAGGTTGTCCCTTGGCCTAAATACACAGCACATGCTTGCGGGAATCATATCATGTTTGTATAATTTGCAATCGAGTATAACTCCCAGAATTTGAACATATGTACAAATAACTTGTGTTTGTTTTGAAGTCCTGAGTGTCCTGGTTTTGTTTTTCTGTTTCTCTCCCTTGTTGTCTTCCTTGAAGTAACATGCAGAGGTCTTTGGGTTACAGGAGTAGTTAAGGTATATTTATATTGCCAGGGAAAGAAAGCCTCTTCAGATATGAAGATGACAGGGGAGGCCTTATCTGTGCCTTTGTCTCAAAGACAGCCTTGTCTCTTTGTATCTCCCCAGATCACATGGCCAAGGAGCCAGTGGAGGACACAGACCCCAGCACTTTATCCTTCGCCATGGTAGGTGGCACGTTTTATTTTGTCTCTTCTTATATGGCACTGTAGTCACCAAGCATTTCCAGGAAATCCCAGAAACCCCAAAGCAAGGTTTTCCAAAGATACACTTCTTTCTCTTGGAATCCTCTGTGGTGCCATCATCCTCAGACTAAAAACAGTGTTAGATCCTGAGCTGGGGATGTGGCTCAGTGGATAGAGTGCCTGCCCAGCATACATGAAGCCCTGGGTTTGATCCCCAGTACCACATAAACTGAGTAAGGGGGTGCACACTTGTAATCCTAGCACTCTGTAGGTGGAGGCAGGAGGATCAGGACTTTAAAGTCATCTTCAGCTATATAGCAAGCTTGAAGCTAGTCTGGGCTACATGAGACCTTCTCTGAAACAGCAACAAAGTGGTGATAGGTCCTCTTCCTGCTTCTTACATACTAAAGAGACCTTCTTAGATGTTCCTAGGTCTTTGCTGGGTGTCAACTTTTAACTTTTGTCTATTTTTAGTTAACCTTCTTTTAACATTTGAAACATCTGACATGGAGTCCTGTCCCAGGATTCAAGCCCAGGACAGAGTCCCACAACAGTGACTATTGCCCGGAACATGTACATGTTGACCCAAACGACTGTCACAGAAATGACGAGGAGAAGCATGCACTCCCAGAATGCACAGAGACAAAATCTGAGCATAAGGCTGCAGGAAGTGGAGAGGGAAAACAGCCCAGCCCAGAGGGAGGAAGTGTGGTTTAGCGGTCAGAGCCAAGGAAGTTAAGAGGGGGTTATTCTGTTTCAAGTTCCAACATTAACCTGTTGACTCTGATTTCGTTTCTATCAGCTCAGAAGAAAAGCAGTGAGTCAGGCCTGCTGATAAGCCTGAGGCTAAAGACCTGGAAGGTTTAATTTTACTTTATATTGCAACCCTGGGGATGGAACCTGGGGCCTTCTGCATGCTAGGCAAGCACTTTGCCAATGAGCTAGCTACACCCCAGCCTGCTCCCGAGGTTTTAAACTGAAACCCAACACAAAGCTCTCTACTCACTTTGATCTCAGAACTGACATTTAAAAACAACTCTCTCCTTTTGTCCGTTTCTGCAGTCAGACAAGTATCCCATTCAAGACACCGGCCTCCCTAAAGGTAAGAGCAGTTGGTGTAAGGGCTTCAGCTTGTGACTAATTGCGGCTCTGGAACAAAGCACCACTCAGAACCCAGTTCTCCTTACTGAAGATGGTAAAACAGAAAGAGACCAATAACTTGGCTCGAGACCGGCTACACAATTGTCCTCAGAAATGAGTTTCCTTATTAAAATGTGCCCATCATTTTATACCAGGTCATAAACTGTGTTTGACCAAGCATGAAATAAAGCTAGCCGGGTTCTGTGTTCAAGTATCTGAACTGACTCAAATGTGTTTAAGAAGGAGGCGAAGAATTGGGTGTCATAGCTCAGGCCTAGAATCCTAGCATCTGGAAGGCCAGGCCAGGAAGACTGGTAGGAATTTAAGTCCAGACTGAGCTACACAATACGTTCTAGGCCAGCCTGAGCTATAGGATGAAACTCTGCTTCAAGAACACCAAAGGGAAAAAAAAAAATAGAGAAAGAGAGAGAGAAAGAAGGAAAGAAAAGACTGATTAGCTCAGTCAGGGCTCTCAAGGGGAGCCTGGATCCACACATTTAGGGGTGATTTTGGCTCAAGCCTTTGACCTGTGGCTCTGCTGTCCTCAGTGCCGCCCTTGTTCCTGCTGAGGAAGGAAAGAGGGTCTCAGCACTGCCCCAGCTTCCCACCATGCTGTTCTCCCCAGAACCGTGATGCAGGCAGTGTGGGTCACATGGCCAGCCCTGAATCAGTGGCTGTCATCAAGAAGATGGGGAATGAGCGAGCCCTGAGCTCTGGCTGGGAAGGCTTGGAGTAGATTTCGTTGAAACCCAGCAGTGTTTTGTGGCCAGACAGACAGCAAGGGATTCTTGTCAGGCTCCAAAGTCACCCCCAAAGTTATCTTTTATATCCCGTAGCCTCAAGTTTAAACAAGGTAAGGATCAAAAGTGGCCAAATCCTAGCCTCCCATGGCCCTGTGCATGTCTGCAAAGCCAGCATGTGGCTTGTTATGTCACAACTTTGACCTTGTACCTTGTGGGCAACCCAGAGACGAGGGCACAGGGGCAGTCAGATGGTCCCAGCTATGGAGAGGGCAGGGCCCGTGGCTGTCTGGTTTCTGTGCGGAGGTGTGGAGCCCCTTCCCCGGGTGGGTTTCCCGACCTGCCCCCGGTGGTGGGAATGGGGGGAAAGAGCCAGGGCCATCAGTGGATGAGTCCAGGTCTCAGCCGATGCGTTGCTCTGCCCCCTCCCTGGCCCCAGACTCTCCTGACCTGTAGAGTGACGTCATTAACGTGTCAGTTTTCTGCGTGTTCCTGGAGGGACTGTGGGATTGGGGAGACGACCAGAGCCCGGCTTGAGTGTAAACCATGCCTGTGCTTGGGAGATTTCCAGCAAGCTGCCTTTCCCTGAACCCTTTCCACAGGTAAACTGTCCCTCGTCTAGAGTTCCTCTTTTCTAGCCTATTTAGTTACATTTTAAAGTTAGCATACAGAGTGATGCGTGTTATCCTGGCCTTGCCTGCCTTATGTATGTGTCATTATACTTTACTCTAATTGTCCCCTCCCTGCAGTCTCGGCCCCTGCTCCCTCTGGCTGATTCGCTTTCTTCCCCCGGATGTCCCCTCCCGATTTCAAGTCCCACGTATTCCATTCACCTTTCCTCCCTAGGGGATGGCGGGAAGGCTGGCCCAAACCCCACAGAAATCAGTTTGGGGACGGTCAAAAACTTCTAAGTAGACTGGCCCAGGGGGACACTTTGGATACCTGTCCTAAAGATCTTTTCTTCTTTGCCCTTGAATGTGATTTCCTGTTTTGAAAGGCAAAGATTGCTGCTAAGCGACCTGGTCCTGCACTAGAAACATGGTCAGGTCGCTCCTGGATCCTGCGCTGTATACATCTTTCCCCCAAGTCCTTTGCAAGAAGCATGACTTGGAAACCATGCGGCAGGCCTCCCCGTTGTCCTATGTCACAGGGCCCAGGATAAAATACTCCAAATAAATGCACCGTTTTGTAGGCAAATGAATCTTGGTTAGAAGCTTTAAAATTTGAATTCAATGATAAGGTGATTTAATGTCTGATAGTGTTTTCCTCTATCTTCTTGAAGAGGAGGTATCTGTCATTGGAGGTTTCTGATAATTTTCTCATGGAATTTGTGTTTTAAGAGAGGGGCGTGGAGGCGGCCAGCCTGAGGGGGAATAAGAACAAAGAAGAATGATGCTGTGTCTGAAAATGGGCCACACTGTAACCTGTTACTTTATGTGCTGACTGAAGGAGTTACTGAAGGGGCTGGGGAGATGGCTCAGGTCACAAAGTGCCTGCTGCATAAACGCGAGGACCAGAGTTCAGATCCCCAGCACTGCGTATAAGACAGGCATGGGGATTGGGTCTGCAAACCTAGTTCTGGGGGTCAGCCAACCTTGCTGAAACAGTGAGAGAGACCCTGTCTCAAAAGCAGTAAGGTGGATAGAAGACACTTCACATTGACCTTGGGCCTCCACAAATATATAAATAAGCACAAATGAATATTTAGAAACAGTTATTTTAGGAATATAAAATCCATATAAAATAATTTAAGAGACTAATTTGTGGACCTAAAAATAAACTAAGTTGCAATTTAATTCTATTAAGTATCAGCTAGAATTCCAGCATTCCTGTGAATTGGGATGTCTAGTTTATTTAATATAGGAGCCACGGGTAATTAGCTTTAACAGTTTCCCTATGGTTGAGAAAGGACTGCAGGCTCATTTTCTTAAATAGGTTAGGCAAGCTTCCTAGCCTCTGCCCTCCTGTCACTGGAGCCCTATGTAGTTTGTGCGCGGCTTAGAGCTCTTCTTTAGTGCCTGGCAAGCTCGAGGGCTTTGGAACAATGTGGTTTTGCTGTAAGTCATGTGGAAATCTAGAGTAGTTTCAGTGGTCAGCGTATGATTTATCACACCTGCTTCTCATCAGGGACAGAAGCATAGCTTCCTCCGGAGCCAGTCCCTGTCCCTAAGCTCAGGGGTTTCTGGGGGCATTCTGCAGGGCTTCTTCCCCAGCAGCTCCTCTGTGACCCTGCAGGTATTTGGCGGGCGTGAGATGGGGTATGGATTACTTACTTTTCTAGTTACTGAGACCAAGTCCCTGACCGAAAACAAAACAAAACAAAAAACAAGCAAGCAAGCAAGCAAACAAACAAACAAAAGCAGCTTAAGGAAGGACTTATTTTACTTAAAGTTTCAGGGTCCATTCTTTCACAGGGATGCGAGGCAGCTGGTCACATGACATCTGCAGTCAGGAAGCAGAGAGAGAGAGAGAGAGAGAGAGAGAGATTCTGGCACTGAGCCTGCTTCCTTTCTCCTTTCATTTTGGCTCAGGACCCCAGTTCATGGTGGTGCTGCTGACATTCAAGGTTGTTCTTCCCTCAGACCTTTCTAGGCAAATCCTCATGAACACACTTACAGATGTGTTACCATGGCGATTGTTGATGATGAAGCTGTTATGCTGCATTGCAGGGGCTTAGTACATTGCCATCACGAATGTCCTGACTTCCCCCAGAAGCTGCTAGATTGAGCATCCTGAAGAGGATACGTCTCCCTGTCACATTCGCGAATGTGTTTGGGCAAAACAGTTCTGGTATTTGAGTGAGCGCTCACGGCAGGAGGCAGCTGTACACAGAGGAGAGCCCTCGTGTAAATTAAGAAAACATTTCATCTTTGGCTGTCCTGGTAGTACAGGCCTGTTACTGGGAAGGCTGAGGCAGGAGGATGGGGAGTTCAGAGCCTGCCTGGGTTACAGAATGAGGCTATCCCAAGCAACTAGGTAAGACCCTGACACCAAACAGTCAAAAAAGGAGCCCAGAGACAAGCTCAATGGTAGATCATCTGTTATGTATGTGTGAGGATCTTAGTTCAACACCCAGTCCTGATAAAACAAACAAACAAACAAACAAACATACATACATACAAAAACCTAAATTTCCTTTGGAGTGCCTCTCTCCTACTATAAGATTCAAAAAAATCTCATAGTAAATTTAAGCTGCAGGGGCTGGAGAGATGGCTCAGGGTTTATGAATACGTGCCGCTCCTCCAGAGGACCTGAGTTTGGCTCCCAGCACCCATATATGCCCTGTAACTCCAGCTCCAGGGGATCCAGTGCCCTCTTCTGGCCTCTAAGGGCACCCACATATAAACATATAAACTAAAATAAAATATTTAAAAATATTTAAAATGCGAAGAAAAGTGATATAGACTGATCTTTGTATGAATCTGAGCATGCATGCATGCTGGGGGAATTGCTTTAATGTTGAGATACAGTCCAAGCCCCAGGAATTTGAACTTTGCTGTTATTTTAAGCAACCAGAATATACATTTCATTTCAGTTTTTTTTATTGTGATGCTGGAGATCAAACCCAGACCCTTGTGTATGCTAGGCGAACACAACTCTGGTGCTGAGCCACTTTCTCCCAGCTTCTGGAACGTTCATTTTGCAACTTCAGCGTCACCTGCACATAGCCTGCTGTGAGGAATGTTCAGATTAAACAAACCCTTGATGGCCCTTCCTCCAGGGACTAGTCATGGATCTCTTGGGGGTCTGGACTCCCTCCAGTTGAGTGCTTTGTAGCCTGGGTGGGGCCCTCCAACTCCCCGACGGCAAGATTTGCTCTCCGGGTACAGGAAGTAGCAATGCTGAGCACGGTGCTGGAGCGCTGGCCGGGGAACAGTAGCACCCAGTGCTCTGCCTCCTGTCTTTATTGATCAGCGCAGGGTCCTCAGCCCTGCCCAGCCTGACCACTTCATTGCCCTTAGAGGTCAAGGGAAAGATACGCAGTGGTAAGGCAAATAGCAACGAAGGGGCAGGCAGGTCACTACCCTGAATTGCATCAACCAAGGTGCCCAACAGGGTTCTCCCTGGGTGGGAAGCCCCTTTCCTTCTGCCAGCCCAGAAGAGCCACACCTCGCCTGTACTGCTGCTGTGCACACACAGATCATGTTTAGAACAGACCCAAGCATAGGAAGCTCACGAGGTCACTGTGAATCTCCTTAGTCAGTGGAACCCAAGCAACAGTCAGCCAAGGTACTGTGCTCTCACTGCTGGGACAAGTGTGTGTCCAGAGACTAACCTGCCACCATCCTCTCTAGCCACTTAACAGTAGTTTCATCCTGAGACCAAAGAAGGACTCACACTAGGCAGTGGTGACTCATGCTTTTAATCCCAGCACTTGGGAGGCAGAGGCAGGCAGATCTCTGTGAGTTCAAGGTCAACCTGGTTGAGATATATATATATATATATATATATATATATATATATATATATATATATATATATACATATACATACATACATACAGGACAGGCCCCAAAGCTACACATAGAAACTCTGTCTCGACAAACCAAAAGAGAGAGAGAAGGGCGGGGTGGGGGAGGGCCACCCCAGGCAGCCATCACCAGTGAAGTTAGTTAGCCAGGAACAGATAATTCATTCTCATCAAATGGCCTTGACCATGGTCTGGCCACTGCATTGATCAGGAAGTAGTTTTGATGGCCATCTCTATAACCTGTTGATGAAGACAGGATGCTACCCTAAGAGTGATGGGGCTGGCCAAACACATGGTGTTTGGTCCTGAACAGATGAAATAGGGGTGCAGCTATAGAGTCACCTACACTTGGGAAACAAGAACACCTCATAGTGTACAGAGCCACACCAGGGTGCATTTAGGAACACAGAGTACTTGAAAGAGTACAGGCTGTGAGAGGCAGCTTCTGTGGGAGCTACAGGGTGAGGTGTCTCTGGATCCCCTGGTAAGGCTATAGCCTTGTTTGAATAATCCTATTTGTTGGCAGTGAAAGGAACCCTGGTTCTCCAAAATCAACAAAACCATGCTTAATCCCCCCCCCCCCAGAAGAACATCGCCGGAGAGAAGAGCTGGGACCTAAACTTGTCCTCATTCAAATCCATCCCAATTTTACCAGATGTCAAGGCAGCTCTTAATTCTGAGTTTTAATTTTAAGTCTTAGACTGGAGTGTGTACTTTCTTTACCAAGCTGTATATTTTTTTTGCCCCCCCCCCAGCCAAGGAGTGTGATTCAGTCGTTTCCAACTGTCCACCAAATTCTGATGATCAACATCAGGTAAGAATAATATTAGCTATTTGTTCTACTTCAAATACCCAGAAATTTTGTAAGAATGATCTGAACGAGCTTTAAAAATAAAAATGAGGACATGTATAGCAGTGCATGCCTATAATCCCTCCATCTAGAGGGCCGAGACACAAGGATCATGGCTTCAAGACCAGACTGCGCTGTGTGAGACCCTTCTCAAAAGACAAGAATTGGTTTGGGAGATGCTTGTGCAAGCATGAGGATCTGAGTTCAGATTCCCAGCACCCATGTAAATGCTGGCGCATGTGGTGGCCTGCCTGTAATTCCAGCAATCGGGAGGCAGGAACAGGGGTCCCAGGAGCAGCTAGATGGACTAGTGGGAGCTCTGAGTGCAAGTGACAGTGGAGAGACGCTAAGTGTCGGGCTGTGACCTGCACGCACACTCAATAATGCTCCACAAGGGTGATGTGGGAGTCCCCTCTGTATGCTGTGGTTACCACTAATAAAGAAACTGCCTTAGCCTGTTGATAGGGCAGAACTTAGCTAGGCGGGAAAAACTAAACTGAATGCTGGTGAAGAAGGGCAGAGTTGGGGAGAAGCCCTGTAACCCACCGGAGACAGATGCTGGGAACTTTACCTGATAAGCCACAGCCACATGGCTATTCACAGATTAATAGAGATAGGTTAAATTAATATGTAAGAGCTAGCCAATAAGAAGCTAGAGCTGGTGGGCCAAGCAGTGATTTAATTAATACAGTTTCTGTGTGGTTATTTCGGGTCTGAGCTGCTGAATGGGCCAGAACGACCAAGAGGCCTTATAACAACACAAGGGTGAGTGTCTAAAGGTGAGCGATGGAGTGGCATGTACTTCTCTGCCGTTTCTCTGTTTTCCTTGTCTTGTTCATACAAGCTAAACTTTAAAATATTAAACGTTTTATCATCAAAAAACAGGAGCTGGGGAGATAACTTAGTCAGTAAAGTGCTTGTTATGCAAGTTTGAGGACCTGAGTGCAGATCCCAGCACCCATGAAAAGAGCCAAGCACAGAAATGTGTGCCCACAGTCCCAGTTCTGGGAGGCAGAAGCATGCAGGTGGGATAGCTCCGGGTTCAGTGAGAGACCCTGTCTCAGAAACTAAGGTGAGCAGGTCCACGTCTGCTCACTTTCTCAGTGCTCACTAGCAACATTGCTTACAGTTCAATCTCTGTTAAAGGAGACTGTACATTGGTTTCCCGGCTGCCCAGACCCAAATAACCACATAGAAACTATATTAATTACAACACTGTTTGGCTGATGGCTCAGGCATATTTCTAGCTAGCTCTTACATCTTAAATTAACCCACTTCTATTAATCTATGTATCACCACGAGGCAGTGGCCTATCAGTAAGATTCTGGCGTCTTTCTTCTTTGGCAGTTACATGGCGTCTCTCTGACTCTGCCTTCTCTCTCCCTGTATTCAGTTTAGTTTTCCCACCTAGCTCTATTCTGCCCTGCCATAAGCCAAAGCAACTTCTTTATTAATCAATGGTAATAAAACATACGCACAGCATACAGAGGGGAATCCCACATCAAATCTCCTAAGCTACAGTTAGAGCATTAAGTGTCTCAGAAAGCATACCTTTAAGGCAGGCTGATTCATGCCTGTGCCTTCGCACACCAAGCTGATTCCTAGCAAGTTCTGCTTAGGAATCCTTTAAAAACAAAACTATGTTTTGAGGCAGAAATGGAAAAGGACTTGTCCGGTGAAGGACTAAAGGTTCAGCTAAGGTAAACTAAAGATGTGTGTTAGAGTTTGGGCTGCTGATGACCATTAGACAGGAAAGAGGCTTCTCTTGGTAGTGGGAAAAGGAAGTGTTAGAGGAATTGAAGACTTTGAGGTCTCCTACACTCTGAGAACAGAGGACCTGATTGGTGGATTAGCTAACTCTGGCATTTTTTTTTTCCATTCTTAGAAATAACCCACGATCAAGTCTTTTTCTAGAATTGAATCATTTGTTTACAGAGTAGTTTTAGGTCCCCAGGAGAATCGAGTTGGAGGTGCGGAGATTTCCCACCTAACACCTTCCCCACAAACACAGCCTCCCACGTTGCCAGCATCCTTGACCACAGTGGCACAGATGTTACTGCTGGTGTGCCCACATTGGTACATCATCAACCACAGGCCATGTGTTCACTGAGTCTCCTTCTGGGTGGCGTATATTCTGTGGCTTTGGCCAAATAGTCAATGCCAAGCACCCACCATGACAGAATCACACAGGGTAGCTTCGCTGCACTAAAAGGCTTCGTGCTCAGCTGCTCACTCCTCCCACCCCCAGCCCCTGGAAATCTCTTATCTTTTCATCATTTCTATAGTTTTGTCGTTTCCAGAATGTCACAGAGTTGGGATCATGCCCTAGGACTTCTTTAGTTATATGCATTTAAGCTTCTGTGTCTCTTAATGGTTGGCATTTCATTGCTTTTTTTGTGCTGTGCAATATTTCACTATCTGGATATACCACCGACAATCTATTTACCTACTGAAGGATACCATGATTAGAAGAAATAAATCATTTTGATCCATTTTCAATATGGGGTATGTTTAGAACTCATGACAGAATCAAAGATAAGTAGGAGGCATTAGGCCCTTCTTTCCTCTAGTTGGCCACTGATGCCACCTTGTCTAGATGGTGGCAGTTTATCCTGGCTTGAAAAGTTAACGGGAGCCTGTTGTATGGCTGAGCCATAATCAAAGACAGGAGGATTTTAAACCTGTGGGTATACGTGAGATGAAGCTTTGCGTGCTGAACTACCAGGGTGGAAAATTGAGTGGGGAACTTGCTAAGGGAGCATGGAGACTGTAGCTCTCTGGCGTCCCAGACTCTGGGACAAAGGAGGCAGGAAGGTTTGGAGATCCGGGACTCTAAAACCCACGTGTGTCCCCAGTCGGTGGTGCTAGCCACTTTTGCCTTTTCTCCAGGCTGAAGTCAGTTTCTACAGAATTGGGTCTTGTGTGTTACGATGGCTGCCTCAACCTTCCGGCACTTAGGAAAAAACAGCTCTAAGCACCCGTATGCAGGTTTGGGCATGCGTAAGTTGTCCAGGAACATGCCTGCCGGCTCGCGGGGTGAGAAGGTTCAGTTTTGTAAGAAGCTGACAGCGCAGTGTGACTTCCAGAGTGGTGGCTTCACTCCGAGTTCTCACCAAAAGCCGATAAAGTCCGGCTGCACCGCACTCCCTCCAGCAGTTAGTGTTCTCTCTGTTCGGATTTTTTTTTTGGCTATCCTAATAGGTGTATAGTGGTTGTTTTAATTTGCATCTCTGTGTTGGCAGGTGATGTGTATGGAGTGCTTTCTAATATGCTAACTTGAATGTTTTATTTATAAGGCGTGTTTAGGGATTTTGTTTATGTTTTTAAGATATATTGATGTATTTATTTTTATCTTATGTGTGTATTGCCTACGTGTATGTACGGGTACCACAGGCATGCCTGGTCCCCGCAGAGGCCAGAAGATAGCGTGGGATTCCCTGGACTGGAGTTACAGTTCTGAGCCGTTCCATGTGGTTCTCTGCGAGAGCAGCCAGTGCTGTTAATCATTGAGCCATTTCTCTAGCCCGTTTTTGCCCATTTTTAAATTAGTTCTTTGTGTCCTTTTTGTTGAGTTTTTAGAGTCCTCAGCATATTTTAGATAGTTCCTAATTCAAAGTATCTTTTGCAAACAATTCTCTCCTGGCATGTGGGTCATCTCCCCTTTTTTTGTTTTTGTTTTGACAGGGCCTATAACAGGACAGACATTATGTTTAGCAAAGTCCCTAGGAACCACTGCGTAGGAAAATGTTATTACAGTGTGACAGTGGCCATGGCCAGGGAGACCACTGTGCCAAACTCCACGTTGAGGTAGACTTTATGATCTTATCTAAAAGCCCCTAGAACATACAGCTTTCCTGGAGGGCATTTACATATCTAAGTGTTTGGCAGGTTATTTAGATTAGTATTTTGTTTATTTTTTAGTTAATATACAAAATGATAGGATTAGGAAGGCATTTTAAAACATGATTTGTTTTTGCTGATCCTCCTTCCTTCTCCCCCATCCCTTTTTTACCCCTTTGAACCTCCCCACCCCAGTCTTCCCCTTCTGCTTTCACCACACGTGTGTCCCTCATCTCCTCCTCAAGGAAGAGGACAGCGGCACCTCTTTGCTCTTTACCTGAGAACATCACCCGTTTTCTGTAGACATGACCAAAAGAGCTAGCAATGCCCTGTAGTTGACCTGAGCTCTTTAGAGACGGCTGTCCTGATTGTCCTGGCCGGTCCCATGCTGCCCCCAGAGGTCTGACATTTCTCAGTTGGTAGCAGCTGGTGTACCGTGCGCATAAACCTAGATGTATTGGGGAGGCCCTGGGCTGAAAGTACCGCCTGTGTGGATGCTACCAGAACTCACCCGGTAAATGTGGGGTTTGTGAGTTTCCTTCCTGATTGTGTTTCAGAGCCCCTCAGAAGCATCTTAAGAGAGGAAGAATTAGTTTGGGCTCACAGTTTCAGAGATACAGTCCATCTTGGTGGGGAAGACTTGGTGGACTTCCTTGTGGTGGGAGCACATGGTGGCAGTTCCTCACATTGTGGTAGACCAGAAAGCAAAGACCCAGCAATAGAGGTAGACTGACAAAGGCCTGCCCTTAGTAACCTCAGTCCTTCAAGCTAGGCCTCACACCCCAGAGATTTCACGACCTCTCCAAAAAGTGCCAGTATCTGGGGACCAAGTGTTCAAACACATGAGCTTGGAGGTGACATTTCAGACTGGAACCCTCACTCAGGGCTCGCTATTTTCTTTGCGTTGGATTGTGAGGCATTGGGTAGAATGTTAGCCAGCAGCCTCGTTGTCTTGGCAGAGCAATGGGCTCACCAGAAGATGCGCAGATCCAAAGTCATTAAGTGCACGGTAATAACAGGGCATGTCAGGGACCGGCAGGGCTGCAGATGCTGTCTGCCATTAGTCAGCCTGGCAGGTCCCTGCCTGCAATTCTGGACACGCAGCAATCCTTACAAGCTCCAAC